GCAGCATGCTGCCTTCTGTGCCCAGCTGTCGGGAGACGCAGGCAGGGAGGGTTCTGGGAAGGAGCATGGACTGTGCAGGCCCCACCCTTGAGGGAGACTCAAAAGTATTCGAGACCAGATCCCTTACTCGGGCACTACTGAAGTCCAGCCATGGTCAACATGGGGCTGAAACGGACAGACAGACAGCCTTTATCAACCCCTTCCCGAGACCTGGTCCTGCTACTGACCAGCCCCACGAGAGAAGGCTGCAGATGGACAGGCTGAGACTGCAGGCCTTGTTCCAGGTAGACATGCGCAGCTCCGAACGGCCGCCCCGTCTGGCCTCAACAGCAGCCCTCCTTGTTTGGGGCCTTGGCGGGTGTGGGGGTCTGTGTTGATCTTGGAGGGTTCACAGGCCCTCACGGTGTTCCCAGAGAGGTGTTCTATGGCTGCTTTATGAAAATAATTTTATGGTCCGTGTAGGTGCTGGGCCACTCCCATCCTGCTGATATTTCCAGGCTAAAACTACCATGGTCACACTCCATGGTGAGGGGCGCTGGGGCCCAGCAAACAGGGCCAGTCTCGAGCAGAGCCTCAGGTGCCAGATGGACGACTTTGTTTTTCTACAACTCAGCTCCTCTAAGGACCATCCTGGGGGTGGCAAGAGCTGACTCTTGGTCCCCTGTCCTCACTCCCCACACTCCTCTTCCCGGCATTGGGCTAGCACAGCAGGCAGCTGCTGGGGGCACCAGGCCCTCAGTGTTATCTCAGAGACCCAGGGTACCCATGCCCTCCTCATCCGCCCACGGCACTCCTTCCACCTCAGCACAGGAATTCAAAAGCCTATTTTGAAATGAAACCATCAAGAATTAATTTCTAAACAGTATGGAGGCTCCTCAAAAAGTTAAACACCAAATTGCCATATGATCCAGCAATTCCACTGCTAAATATACACTCAAAAGAACTGGAAGCAGGGTCTCCAGTGGATACTTGTACACCTTTCACAACGTAGATGTTCATTGCAGCATAATTCATGAAAACCAAAAGGTGGAAACCACCCAAATGTCCATCAATGGATGAATGGGTTAACAAAATGTGGCGTGTGCACACAGTGAAGTATTACTCAGCCTGGAAAAGGAAGGACATTCTGGCACATGCTGCAAATGGATGATCCTTGAAGACCTTATGGTCAGTGACATCAGCCAGACACAAAAAGACAAATACCGTATGAGTATACGAGGTTCTCAAAGTAGTCAAACTCGTAGGCAGAAAGTAGAAATGGTAGTTACCAGGGGCTGGAGAGAGGGGAGATGAGGGTGCTATTGTTTAATGGAAACAGAGTTGCTGTTTAGGATGATGAAAACATTCTGGAAATAGATAATGGTGGTTTTACAACAATGTCAGTGTACTTAGTGCCACTTTAAAATGGTTACAATCATCAATTTTATGTTATATCAAGTTTACTACAATATTTTAAGTCACAAAAAAAAAAAAAAAAAAAAAAAAAAGGAAGAAAGAAAGAAAGAAGAATTAACTTCTTTGTTTACCCTTTTCTGTGTCCAACGCATGAAGGTCGACGTTCCCAGGAAACTGGTGCTGAATCGAGGTGATTTTTTCCCCCTCCAGGGGACATTTAGCAATGCCTGGCGGCATTTCTGGTTGTCTCAACTGGAATTGAGAAAGGGCTGCTGGAGCCCAGTAGGTAGAGACCAGACGTGCTGCTGAACACCCCACGATGCACAGGACAGGCCGCCACAAAGAATCACCCAGCCCCAAAGGCCAAGGTCAGAAGCCCTGCCCCAGGAGAAGGACCCCAGATGGCTAAAAGCAAACCATTCATGCTTCAGAAATACCAGGAGCAGCTCCTTCTCTGTGTCTTGGTGAAGAAACAAAATACTTCCTAAGGAGAAAAAAAAGTCTTATTCCTGCACTAGCTGGCATCCTGTGGTTGGACTCCAGGGGTGAGAAGTGTGCGATGTTCTTTTGGGGGCCTCTGTTGATCCCTGCCCAGTAGACTGTGAGCTCTGTGGGTCAGTACCTGTCTGTCCCCACTCCCCAAAACGTACCTCCACAGTGCCAGCCACAGCGAATGGCCTGCATAGGACCGCCGAGGCCAGCCCCGTTATCCCTGCACACTCGATCCCACTTTCAGGGAGTACGGTTGGGCCCCCTCCCCCCAGCCCAAAGGCCACCAAAGGCACAGAGGAGAGAAACGGGATTTAAAGCCAGCTAAATAGTCTTCCTCTCTTCCTCCTCCCCAGACCCTTCCCACTCTGTCCCTTTCAGATTAGATACCTACATGATTGAGATGTTCCTGGCAAAAGCAATTTGTTTAAAGTAATCTGTTAGTACTTTGTGGACTCACTTAACTGAAGGGTCTGGGGAAAGTATTAGGATGTCAGGCATGGCTGGATCCAGGAGCAGACGGATCTTATCAGGGTTCTCTCTTCATCTAACCATCTTTTCTTTCTACTCAGCCCTGCTCTCCCTTGGGCCCTGGCCTCATTCCTTCTTGAAGCAGATGACCACCTCCACGATGTCATGAAAGATGGGACAGCCCCTTCCTGCTCACTTTGTCACGGTAGCTCACAATCCCCCAGCACATGGCAGCTCATCTCTCTGTTCCAGCTCATAGCAATTCCCACCACCCCTCCACCCCACCCCCAGCTCCAGGTCACGTCCCACCTTGTGGATGAGGTGGGGCGCTGTGGTCGACTGGACTGTGTGCCCAAACAAGACAGTGAGAGCTTCTCAAAGGGGAAGATGCCAGAAAACAAAACCAAAACATATACCTCCCACCTCCCAGCCAGACTCCGGCCAGCCCAGCAGAGACAGGGGCTCAGCCTGGCGTTTGCCATCCCTTCTCAAGTTGTTCTTACCCAACAGTGATTTTGCCTGCCCCGGACAGAGCCCTAGCCCATGCTCTGCTTCTATCTCACACTGCCATGACCCCCTCTTCCCACTGGCCACTAGGAAGCTTAGTGCCCCTCCCTGTGGCCTGTCCACAGGGTCTGCGCAGCTTCCCACTGGCCTCTGTGTGCCTCACCAGCTTCCTTCCCCCTGTCCGGTTTGCCCTCATCCCAGCCTCGCTCTAGGTTGACTGGCTGAGTGGGTGTCGCTAGATAAGCCGCTTTAAAGCCATTCTGGAGCAGAGTGAAGGAAGAATAACATCAAGGCCATCAGCACTGACATTGTGTGACAGATGGATTTTTCTTCCATTTTTAGAGTATTAACACAGAAGGAAACCTGCACGGTTCTGGGGCTTCAGGATTGACAGCCTGCAAGGGGATCCTGCAGGCTTGTGGGCAGAGGGCATTGACCTGCCCAGCCCCTGATGGGGCCAAGGATGGATCTGAAGAACAAGCTTGGTCCAGGGCACTGCTCAGAACTATGACTCATGAACCATCAAGGCCATCTTCAGATCTGGGTGAATGTGGAATGAATGAATGATTGGATGAATGAATGGGACCTGAGGTTTCCCGATTCCAACCAGCAAAGAACCTCGTGGCCTGGCTTTCACTAGGAGTGTGGATCCTCCTAGGGCTGCAAACTGGTAACCACAGAGCCCTTCCTGCCCTCCCACAGCCCGTATCCACCTGCCTCGCTGTGGCGGGATGGGCAAGCCCCACTCCAGCTCCCCACCAGAACCCTGCCTGGGCTCAAATCCTAGTCCTTCCATCCACCAATGGTGTCACCTTGGGCAAATTTCCTTCAGCTGCCGTATTACAAATTTCCACACCTTGGTGGCTATTCTCTCACTGTTCCGGAGGCCACAAGTTCACAGCTCAGGTGTGGGCAGGGCCGTGCTCTCTCCAGAGGCTCTAGGGGAGGCTCCTCTCAGGCCTCTTGCAGCCTCTGGTCCTCCAGTCACTCCTTGGCTTGTGGCAGCCTCCCTCCAACCCCTGCGTTCTGTCTCCACACAACCTGCGTCCCTTCTCTGTGTGTCTAAGGACACTTGCAAGAGACTAAGTATCCAAAGGGACAGTGGCCATACCATTGAGGTTTTGTCCCTTTTCAAGTTGTTCTTACCCAACAGTGCTTTTGCCTATTCCCGGACAGACCCCAAGCCTGCTTCTATCTCACTCTGCCATTACCCCCTCTTCCCACTGACCACCAGGAAGCTTAGTGCCCCTCCCTGTGGCCTACCCACAGGGATCTGCTCTGAAAACAGAACGCTGACCCACACCTGCATCAACTCGCCAGGAAACTGACCCTGCATCCACCAGAACAGTGGAGGAAGCCAGTCTGCAGTGAACCAGGCTTGCAGGAGGCCAGATAGCCATCTTTAATGACAATGCAGGAAGCTAAACAGTGGCTTCTGTGACAATTAACCCCAACTGGCCAGGACTTGACTCCTAACTGACAGCTTCCTATTTTTGTCCCCACTTCTCACTAATGGCCAACCAGAGAGAGACAAATATGCACCCTAGCCCATCCCAGGTGATGCCCCAATGCTAGGTAGGCAGCTCCGGTTCCCCGACACCAACAGCCTCCGGTCAGAGCACACCCAAAGCAGCTCCAGCTTTAAAGCCTTCCCGCTCCTCTTCCCACCTTTGAGTCTCTGCCCAACACAAGTAGTGGTGACTGAGTCCAGTCTGCAGAAAGCTCTGGATAAATGGCCTCTGCTTCTCTCATTCGAGCGGCCCTTGTTTATTTCCACTCTTGTCACTGTATTTAGGGCCCTCCCAGATAATTCGGGATGATCTCAGCTTGAGATCCTTCACTTAATTTCATCTGCAAAAACCCTCTTTCCAAATAAGGCCACAGTCACAGATTCTGGGAATTAGGAGGTGGACATGGATTTTTGGGGGCCACCACTCACCCAGTACGAGCGGGTACTTCGACACTTTTGGCCTCAGATCATAGGAGGACCTGCCCCACCTGGCTGCCCGGATGGTAAGTGAATACATGGTTAGAAAGCCCTGGATCAGAACCTGGCAGGGGACACAGTGCACAGGCATCCACTACTGTTCACAGAGTGGGGAGGGGAGCCCCCACAGTGAAGATATGAAGAAAACAAATTAGCAGAGTGCAAGGTTTCTTTTTGGTGATGGAAACGTTCTAAAATTAGATTGCGGTAAGGGTTGTACAATTCTGCAAATTCACTAAACACTATTGAATTAGACACTTAAAATGAGTGATCTTTATGATGAATAAACTCCATCTCTGAAAAAGCTGTTTTTCAACAAATTTGACTAGCAGGGTCGGAGAAGGTTTTCTGGGAGACCCTGGCCCTCTGCAGCCCAGGAGAAGAGAGAAACACTGCCAGGGGCTGCAGCCCAGTGCTTCGGGGTGAGCCGGAGCCGCACCCATGAAGACTCATGGTGGGGAGCGAGGTTGTGAAATGCTGCCTTTCTAAGGGTTGAGGCCTAGGAGCTCCTGGGCTGTTGGGATCGGACGATGTGCGTGTGGCCGGGCGTTGAGGGGTGAAGCCTCCGGTGCCCAGTGCTCCAGTGGCCGGTAGGGCTTCGGCTGAGACCCAGCCTTCGGTCCTCTCCCCGGGACTGTACGGCTCACATGGCTCCTGAAAAACAAGCTTGTCATCTTCTGATCCAGTGTCTTTGGGACTTGAGGTTTTCCACTAAAGCCCCTGACTTCCACAAAGCCCCTCAATTCCAGCCCCAGCCGCCCCCTCCCAGCCCTGCTCCGCGGCAGCTGTGTGACCTTGGGTGAGCTGTGTAACCCGTGCTGGGGTGATGGTAAAGGCTCTCTTACCACCCTCCCCCGCCCCTCCAGCAAGCTGTTCTCCCAATAGGCATCACCCATAGCATTCCTCAGAGACCATCCCTTGCTGTGCCCATGCAGGAAGAAGCTAAAGACCCTGGGAAGTTAAGCCCTCTGCAGCCCTTGACTGAGGTGTGAGGATCCCCCAGGTGAGCCATGAGCCTGAGCCCAGGTGTGTCTGGGAGAGCCCTGCCTGGCTTCCTCCCCAGTCCCTGGTGGGCCCCGGGAACCATTCCTCAATCATCGGCTTGCACACAAATCCCAGGCTAAGGGTCTGTTGTGGGAACCCATTGGAGACACCGTCACATAGGGCTACTGGGAGGATTAATAGGTTACTACATTTGTGTGTGTGTGTGTGTGTGTGTGTGTGTGTGTGTCAGAGTCTTGCTCTGTTGTCCAGGCTAGAGTGCAGAGGCACCATCTCAGCTCATGGCAACCTCCACCTCCCGGGTTCAAGCAATTCTCCTGTCTCAGCCTCCCAAGTAGCTCAGATTACAGGTGCCCACCACCATGCCCAGCTACTTTTTGTATTTTAGTAGAGATGGGGTTTCACCATGTTGGCCAGGCTGGTCTCGAACTCCTGACCTCAAGTGATCCACCTACCTCTACCTCCCAAAGTGCTGGGATCCCACCCTGTCCACAAGACACATGCAAATAACACGGGCACTGACAAGACTGGATTTAGGAAGTCCACAACTTCCCTGGTTTACCTTCTGACGTCCACTAAGTCCGACACTCTCCCTGTCTCCGTGGTTACTGCAACACCCAACTCTCCAGCTCCACAAGGGCTTGACAGGCCACTGAACCACAGGACCTCAGTTTTCTCATCTGTGGAATGAGGATGATAACAATAGCTCCCAAAGTGGTACATGTGCATGTACGCTCAGAGCAGCCTTATTCACAGCCGCAAAAAAGTGGAGGCAACCCACGTGTCCATGGAAGGATGAATGGAGAAACCCAACTCAGTCTTAAAAGGGAATGAAGTGACCGGGCACAGTGACTCATGCCTGTAATCCCAGCACTTTGGGAGGCCAAGGTGGGTGGATCACCTGAGGTCAGGAGTTTGAGACCAGCCTGGCCAATATGGTGAAACTCTGTCTCTATTAAAAATACAAAAATTAGACAGACATGCTGGCAGATGCCTGTAATCACAGTTACTTGGGAGGCTGAGGCAGGAGAATCGCTTGAACCCGGAAGGTGGAGGTTGCCGTGAGTTGAGATCGTACCACTGCATTCCAGCCTGGGTGACAGAGTGAGACTCTGCTCAAAAAAATAATAATAATAAATAAAGGAATCAAGTCTGATACAGGCCACAACATAGACAGAGAGTGGCACGATCTCGGCTCACTGCAGCCTCCACCTCCTGGGTTCAAGGGATCCTCACACCTCAGCCTCCTGAGTAGCTGGGACTACAGGTGCGTGCCACTATGCCTGGCTAATTTTTGTATTTTTTGTCGAGATGGGATTTCACCATGTTGCCCAGGTTGGTCTTGAACTCCTGGCCTCAAGAGATCCGCCCGCCTTGGCCTCCCAAAGTGCTGGGATTACAGGCAGGAGGCACCTCACCCGGCCTAATTTTCTGTTATGTGAATTTCACCTCAATATAAGAACTAGTCTCTCGTTCCTGGGGTGCCGTGAGAACCAGCTGGGTTCCTTCCTGCATGGCACCTGGCACGGGGCCAGGCCCATGGGGTGTGTAAGTGCCAGCTCACGTGGACCCATTCTCCCCAGCACAGTGAACACATCCAGAGGTAGCCGCAGCCACCTGAAAAGGAGTGGGTGTTCTTGGATGCTGGATTGAAATGTGAGTTTCATCCTTGGGAAATGAACCCAGTGCTTGCTGAAACCTGGGTAGTATCTCAGACAAGAAGACTCTGAGCCGCCGCTGCAAGAAACAAGCCCCTGGCAGTGATATTTACACGCTGCTCATGCATGTTCCAAAGGAGCAGCACCAGAGGGTTTTGCTACTGAGTGCAGAGCGTGCCTGGCTGGGATCAGTCCTGTGGAAAGCACAGTCTGTGCACAATCACACGGGGAGATCAAAGACCAGCTGCCTTCCCACAATCTCGGGGGAAGATGGTGCAGCCAGGGGACTTGCCTCAAGCCTTCAACGTCAGATAAGGCTGAACGCGTCAGTGAGAACAACAGAGCTGCAGAGTAGCCCTCAGTTACCTCCATTCAACTCCCGACCAACCAGTGACGTCGGTTGACTCCTTTATGTTGGATTAACAGGGAGGCTGGTGATGTGGATTCCTTTTTTTTCTTTCTTTTTTTTTAGGTCTTTGGATGTCATGTTTATGGCTGTGATTTTGAAGACATGTTTATTTGATGATAAAATAACTAGGAAAGGAATTTTCAACAGAGTCAGATTTTTGTGAAAGAATGTGGATGAGATAGGTCCATAAAAGATAACCTCTCCCTGGCCTGGCTCCTGCTGAATCTGTCAGCAGCCACAGTGCGCTGCTCCGAAGACACCTCATCCCAGAGCGCTGGCCCCCGTTAGGAAGGGTGAGCAGGTGATGGGTTTTGTCGACAGCGTTTAGAACCCTCATCTTTTAGAGGAACCCAGATGGAAACAGGGAGGGGCGTTGAAAGTGGCTGTGCTCTCCAGATGTGAGCGGGGGCGGCTAGCAGGGGCCGGAAGGGCCCCGGCTTTCTAACTCACGGTCAAATGGCTATTTTTGTTCAGAGAGAGTTCAGGGAAAAAAAGTCTTAGAACAAAGGACAAAACATGGATAAGATGAACAAATTCACTTTTTATCTTAAATGAAGAGTGACTTACAAAGCCGGTTGACTTGGAGGCCACTTTCTCAAGGCCGAATACTCTTATTCAACAGCCTCAGAGGAACCCCTCCTCCCTGAACCACACAAACATATTTTTTAAAATTTGGGTTAGAGACTATTGGAGGGTGGAGGAGGGGAGGTGTAGACAGGGGCACCATTTCGGCCTTAGAGGCTCTTGGCTAGAATAGAAAAATCAAGTCAATCGGAACAATTAAGTCCTTGAAGTTTTTCTGGTCACCTTCTGGGCAGATCTGGCCGTCCCAACATGCCATTGCTGGCGGCGTTCATGTTATTTATCCCCACTCCATTCTGCAGAGGCTTTAGGGGGGCTTAGGAAGTGACACCAGAGCAGACAGATAAATTAGAAGTGGGCGAGAAAGATGAGAGGAAGGAAAACAAAGTCAGAGACAGGAGGGCTCCGGGCGGCAGGAGGGCCGTGCCCCGCCAAGCGAGTGGGAGAGCACTGAGCCTCCCAGACAGAACAGAAGAGACCCGGCCTGTTTTCCTTGCATGAGCTCAGCCTGCATGCTCCTCATCCCCGGAGGCCCCTCGGGGACCACTCCCTGACCACACCATTCTGCCTCTTGTGGAGCCCCATCTAGATGTGTTCCTGCTGGCCAGGCCGCTACACCAGGGAGGACAGCACTGTGTCTGTCACCCCTGATTCCCCAGGGCCTGAGTGCTTGATTAGTACTTGATGAATAAATGAATGGATGAATCAAGCGGATGAGCAAATGAATGAACATAGTCAGCTAAGAGAATTCACTTCTCCCCATCACCAGGCCAAGGGACAAGCTGGGAGAAGAAAACCATCTGTCTCTGCCCTGGCACACCTGGCCCAGAGCCTGGCTGTGGTCACCCTCCGTCTTGTCAGAGGCATGTGGTGACAGTTTCAGCCTGTCTGTTCACTCGTCATTGCTACAAGCATTTGCAGGTCACCTACTTCCACACTTTGAATCCCTGCTCTGCTGTGTGTCCTTGGCCAGGCTACTAAACCTCTCTGTGCCTTCATTCCCCTACCTGAAAAATAGGAATAATAGCAGCGTCTTCCTAGTTTACATCTGTGCAAATATGCTGGATCGACGCTGGACATATAGTGAGCACAGGCTGGAGCTGACCACCGCCAGCATTTCCACAACCCAGGCCCAACTGTGGGACGCAAAGATGAGTGGACAGGATCCTCCCTGCAGTAGCGCCTACAGCCAGTCCCAGACCAGGCCCAGTCCTTAGCCCCCATGGCAGGCCTATCTCTGCAAACCCACTCAGATGTCCCTGGCCCCTCCACCAAGGAGCAGCCCTAGTCAAGAAGGCGTGAGTGTAACGCAGCACTGGCCCCAGTCGCTGTTGTGTGTGTAGGCATGGCTGCTGCTGCCTTCTGACTGCTGCATATTCTGGTCCCGGGAAGCCCACCTTCTTCCCACCCATGTGCCTTTGCCCAGGCAGTTTCCTCTGTCTGGGTCTCCCTTTCCTTGGCCATGTTAGCAGCTGTATGCAAAGTGGACCCAAGGAAGCCTGCTTCCCCGCCCCATCCCTCCTTCAGAGCAAGCCCTACAGGGCAGCCAGGAGCTCAGGGCTGAGGCAGAGGGTGAGACCCTGAGAGTCAGATGGGGGAAGGGGTCTCTAGAGGAGCCTCCAGAAGGGGCAGAGGAGGAGAAGAAAGAGATGGGGAGGAAGGAGAAGAAGGAGAGAGGAGAAGGAGAGGGTTCAGAGGAGGAGGATGAGACAGGAGAGGAGAAGGGGCAGAGGCGGTCGGCTCCGAGGGGTGGGGCGGAAGGGCACCTCCCAAAGGCCGCCCCCGCTCTGTGTGCCCTGGGTAAATGTTTGTTAAGTGGATCGAACTGAACTGTATCAACAGAGAATGCAGGGCACACAGCCTGGAAGCTTCCGAGAGGCCCAGGATTGTGCGACTCATCTTCAAGGGGTTCGTCGCATGCATAAGTGGCACCCCTTTACTCCAGCATGAGGGCTGGCCACTGCCCTGCCCAGCCTCACCCTCCCTTGGGGGCCTGCTGTGCCCCACAGGCTGCAGGGCCGGGTCCCCGCCTCACCATCCGCTGCTCAGGAAGGGTGGGTGCACAGGAGGGGTGGACGGGGCGTGGAGACTCAAGAGCTGCAGAGAAGGGGGCTGGGGGGCAGGGGAGCAGGGGGTGGCCAGGCAGGCACCGGGACCCCCAGGTTTCCACTCGGGTCATGGGGCAGTGACCGATCCTGCAGGAGCCAGCTAGGGGTGGTCCAGAGAGTGGGAGGTTTTAATTGTGAATTGAGGTTTCCAGAGGGACAGGCAGTTGGAAGAGGAATTATTGGATGAAACATTCCAGAAGGGAAGCATAAGGGAGAGGCTGACATGTTCTGGCCATGGAGAGGGAGGGAGGAAGATGTTCTGGCCATGGATGGCCATGGAGAGGAGGGAAAGATGTTCTGGCCATGGAGAGGGAGGAGGAAGATGTTCTGGCCAAGTGAGAGGAGGGAGGAAGATGTTCTGGCCATGGAGAGGGAGGGAGGAAGATGTTCTGGCCATGGAGAGGGAGGGAGGAAGGTCTTTGCAAAGATGAAGTGACCTCGAGAGACATCACTGTCACTGCAGACTCAGGTGGGGGCAGGTGGGGGTTGAGCCTGTATCCACACTGTCCATGACAAGGGCAGAGCCAGGCAGGGGCAGAGCCAGGTAGGGACAGGCCAGGCAGGGACAAAGCCAGGCAAGGGCAGAGTCAGGCAGGGGCAGAGCCAAGCAGGGGTAGGCCAGGCAGGGGCAGAGCCAGGTAGGGGCAGGCCAGGCAGGGGCAGAGCCAGACAGGGGCAGAGTCAGGTAGGGGCAGAGCCAAGCAGGGGCAGGTCAGGCAGGGGCAGAGCCAAGCAGCGGCAGGCTCCAGCTTGTCCACTGGGAGAGGACGCAGCCTCCGTGGAAGAGCCACAGCGGAAGTCTCTGAAGTGGCAGGGAGGGTGGGCAGCCCTCTCGGGGACAGTGTCATTCAGTCATTGATTCACCCATTCACTCGTTCAGCACACACTTTCTGAGTGCCCAGCATGTGCCCAGCAAGGCCTTGGGTGCTCAGCAATGACCACACAGACCTCACTCACCCCAGCCTCACTTTCTGCCGGTGGAGACAGACCTCGAACAAGGCAAGCGAGCCAGTGAAAGCAGAATGTGCTCAGAGGAAGGTGCAGTTTCAGGCCCAGGGAGCAGACCCAGAGAAGAACACCCAGGTGCCAGCAAGCGCAAGGGCCCTGGGGCAGGAGTGTGGCCGGTGTGTTTGCAGA